AATTAACAATAGGTATAGTTAGTATCTTCAATCTTGCACACTTATATAGTTTCATGCACATAACAGTATTAAATCAAAGATCAGTGAGATAACGAATTCTTTCTAGAAAAACGTAGAAAATATCTACCCTTGCATAAACTCATGAAACGTTGGAAAATTCGCTGAACGAGCATACGTTTTTGGATTCTGTGCCCCGTGGAATGACTTTCAATTAATGCAAACCATTTAAATTCATTTCAAACTAGCAGCTCGGCAGAATGTAAAGTATGGCTGGATAACTGTAGCTTTCTGAATAAGTTTATTCCTGTTCCTTTTCGTTCAAGTAGACCATCGCATTCGGCGATTATAACGCGAAACTTTTTTGTTTGATCTAGATCGAGAAAGTTATAAAGTTCTTAGCCATTATGCGGTTAATAATAACTTCTATCGAATGTATTATTTTGCGAAGTCATGGATCTCGAGGAATTCCTGAGATTTTCGTCTTCTTTGCTTTATCAATGATCCTTTCCAACAACCGAGGTTTAGTTTAGTTTCGGCACTGTTTCAACATCTTTAAAGAACCCTGGGCAAAGCAGTATATGAGGGTCTTCGTTTGTGCAATATTTCAGGAACAAAAATGTAAGTAGTCGATAAAATTGAATTTATATTTTTGGGTATATTTTAAATAAATTTGTAAAATGCACCATAATTTAGAATTACTAAAATACTAAGTATTTTTTCATAAGTTATCAACTTGGAGTCTATAGTGTATCAGGTATGAGCTCATACGTTAAGATAATCCCGAGTTTAGTGGTGATTCTGTAATTAAATCAATTTTATTAGACATTATGTTAAAAGTTCGGGAAAAATATCGAAAGTCACGAGAAGTGGTACATATTTGGTATATTTTATCGCTTCTCTAATTAGGATCTTCGCTTTATGAGAATTTGTTATAATTATTTCAAGTTATTCCTATAAATTACTCGTATAATGTTAGGTACTACTATGTAGTAGTAATAGTACGTAAGGATATAACGAAATTTCAATAAAAATAGGATAAATATTTTTGGTAATATGATAAATTTGAAAATGGAATAGGAAATTCAGGAAGATGCAAGTAGTAAAGCATTTTGCATGCGAAGAAGAGTCTCGCAATGTATTGTTTCTGGATCACGGCCAGGAAATCTCGAACCCAACGCATTTTACCGTGTTTCTAGTAGACGAAGCAAAAAAACGAAACAAGATTACGAATTTGCACTTCCTTTCCACGGTCGAGAGTGAATATTAAATTCTGAATCACGGACAGTGGAGTTTCAAGTAGCAAACATGCACACTCTATGAATATTTTACATCCGTGTAAGTTGCCAAGTTTTTAACGTTATCACATATATTTTAACAGTATTATACCAGCTCGACGACTATGCTGCATTGATATAAATTTTCTGAATAACGGGACAATGGAAATTTAATAATGTAGGAATATTAAGAAGTTATTAGAATAATCAGGATAGATAATCAGTTAAATTACTCGGTATACCCTAGATTTTCGGATACGTTCGATTTTCGCAATGAAACTGCCGCCAGTGTTCCTTAATTGCCTTTCACTTTCCAAATTCCATTGACGAAAAACATACAAATCACTGACAGCTAAATTGTTAGCGAAAACTCTGTGTAATTTGTTACGCAAGTGCAAACCACAGGCAAGGGACATAAACCTGCACGAAACGGAGCATTTCAATGTTAGACCGATATCTTTGTGGTACCTTGACCACGTAGTTATTTACGCCGTGATTGTCGAGTAATAGGGCCAGTCATCAACTATAAAGTTGTTTTCGACGACAGAAAATATCGCGAAACTCATCAACTCTTCTTTCCTAATTAGTACGTACGGTGTCCCATTGAAAATTGAGATTAACGACGTTAGAATGACTCGAGATAACAAAATATACAGTGTACGGTGTGCACGATGCTCAGTGCGATAGTATAGTATAATAAACCGTGAGCAATTTCTATTAGCATTTTAGTCAAATCCAGCGAAATCTTTTGCCTAACATAATTTTGCTTATCAAACAATTTGAGGGACATAAAGCAATTATTGGACACCCTATTCAGTGACATTATCTTTTGACTTGACGTAAATTTATGATCCCGAAAAGGAATTAGAGTCTCTTTGTTCTAGTTCACTGATTTATTTATTTTGTTACACCACGTAAGTACACTGTTGGAAGAATCTAATATTGCTCTCGAGAATATAGAACATAATTGCTCAGTTGGTTTAGCCACGTTTCGTCGTGGTTGACAGGAGTCATACACCTTAACGCGATAAAAGAGATATTTTCGGTCAATGTACAAGTGGACCAGAGAATATTTTTCTGGAATCTGATCGAATAATGATCCATACACGGCCTCATGTTAGTTAGATAAACTTATTCTACTTGCATCACTGTTATCTTCATCCGAGGAATCAGAGGAATTCAAACTTCAAAATTATAAATATACGTATGATTTTCTAAAAATATACGTAAATACACGTATTTACTAGAAGCGAGATTGATTCGATAAGGAAGGAATAATTGGCAATGAAGGTGAGAGAGGGAAGCAGTGAAGAAAATGCTAGTCACAATTTCAAGTAGTTTGAAACTTGAGACGTTCATGTCCCATTAAAATATCGATATGATTCCAGAGCAGTATCCTAAGAGATTGGCCTGTGAATCTCACCAATTCGAAGATTTAATCGTCACGGAAGATTCATACAATACGTGACTGTCTTTTACGAGCTGCCCAGGATACGTTTTCTAGACGCAACAGCTGCGTCCATTTTGAGCGACACGTGTTACAGCTATGAAACATGCTCTCTTGAGGATCGTTTCACGAGACACAAACGTATTATCTTAGTCGAGTTTAGGGGGTTACAGTTAGAAGGTGGAAGATGAAATAATTTCGTATATCAAGTGCAGGTCCTCTGGATCTCATAAATGATTTATATTTACCTCGATTTAGAGATCTCGAAACTTCCGAGTCGGAACGAGACGAGTTTCTTTACGAGATCGAGACGATATCTCGATATTTTTCAAATCTTTCGATTTTCTAGGCTTCTTTTCTGTTAGTCTCTAGTCGATGATTATGAATTCAATGATTATGATTCATCGATGATTATGAAAATGGTATGTTCGTTTCTTAAACTTTATGGGAAATTTACTTGATATAATATTAAGTATAATTTTAGAATA